GAGTATCAGCGACGGATCAACGACGGAAAGCACTTTCAGCGACGGATCAGCGAGGGAATTTTCCCTCGCTGATACCCAGCATTTTTGTAGTGGAAGATGCAAATTGTAGACCTCTTTATTAAGGCTTTGTGACTACAACAGTTCGAGTCTCTAGTCAGCAAGTTGAGCATGCAAAATCTACATGCTCCACGTTGAGGGGGAGTATAGAATTTCATAATATTATCCATATATAACTCATGCCTATCCTGTAATCTATCCCGATTCTCTCATATCGGGCCTCTTTTTACTCCTTGATTCTAGGCAGAGTTGTGTGTGTGTGTATATATATATATATTAGGCTCTTTGTAATCGATTGCATCAGAAACTCAATCAATAAAGAAGCAAAATTCTATAACTGAGGAAAGGAGATGGAACGGGATGCCGAAGAAAATGACTAGAGAAGGGAGCGGGGATTGGCGAGCTAAGGACCAAATTTATAGCGAAAATGAAACCCTGAGGACCTTTATCATAAGTTTTTTGGTTTAGGGCCTTATTCATAAAAACATTGAAACCATAGGGATAAAAATGTAATTAACTCTAACATAAATATTATATATGTTTTTGAATCATATGAAAATCTTTGACTTGTTTCTGTGAAGATATTTGCAATAATTAATCAGCAAAACAAAATATTTGAACTCATAATTAACTTATAAACTATCTTCTATTTATAAATCTTAACCTAGCAAACACTACAAAGTCTCGTTACAGAATGGATATATCCTTCTTACAATTCACGAATTTTTGAACAACTTCTGAAATCAAAATTGAAAACTTCAAAACAAATATATCTTACCTGATATTCACGACTTGAGTATGCTCTACTTATTTTGCTTAGCAAAGTGTCATGACACAATTTCAGTAGTGCCCGCGCCATATGGGCCCGCAACCATCATCTGTCCGAAGAATATGTTGATGGTGCCTAAAGTCGAACCCTCGTACCTCCAACTTATCTCTTAAAGTGAGGAGTGTGTCTGAGTCGTACTATATATAAATATTATATATAGTTCAAAAAAACAGTAATAACGTAGTTAATGGCAATAAATTTATTTTTGCTCCAATTTAGCGAAAAACCCTTCGTGCAAGATTAAATTTATGTGACCGGTATTAAATTTTACACAAATGAAATAGTTATTATCCGATATCATTTTTTTCATTTTTTATTATCAGTTGTGTGAATCAGTTGGTAGTAAATGGACGAAGTGACTTTGCTCAATTGCATAACATGTTCAAGTTCGAATCTTGTCGGAGGCAGATTTGAACCCCCTAGCCTCAGCCGTGGAGACGTCATCTCAAAAATGCTTCCTCTCATGTGATTTCTAGGAGGGCGGGTTCATATATGTGGAGCCGCTCGGGTCATCGGTAACCAACCTTTTGCTTAAATACATCTCTTTTCCTATTCTAACGTCAAATTACTGGAATTCAAATAAAAAACAATATAGGTAAATGACCATGTAAGACCTTAGCCATTTCGTATCCCAATCCTAGGTATTTTGTATAATGAATTCAATCTAAGAGAACATGATTTTGTGCCCATATTTGATCGAGTACAGAATCACAAATGAAGTAACATACAGATGCAAGTAGTAAAGATATGATCATTGGTTCAAGATGGTGTCAATGGTTCTATAAACAAACATGCCATCGAATCCATTCAATCTGCAGTAGTTTACTGTCTAGTAGTGTTGATCCAATACAAAAGCTTCAATCAATTAATATTCATGTAAATTACATGTATTTCTTGGTACACTCCCATGGCTGCTTGTCATATTCAAGGAAGAAGACTTGCCCTTAAAACTTCAATTAAATGGGCTAAACGTTAAAGGAAAGGAAGGAAGAAGAAGCAACAACAGTTATTAAAGACAGTTTTTTTCACGCCTCACCTCATTTAGGCCGATCACCCAGCCTCAGCTCAAGATCCAAATTCTCTAGTGTAGAGTTTGGGCTACGTTCAACAGGCAACAGTGATTCGGCTTCATCGCCATTTACCATCGTGTCACTATTCTTTGCAAAGAAAGAGTGTGCATCATCGTCCGTTCGCCTTCTCTTGGAGAACAAACCATCGTTAGGTTCATCCTTGTCGTTATAGATAGGTGTCTCGCATCTTCTTCTAACGAGTGAATTTAGGTTACCGGAGAAATGAACTTCAATCTGATGATTACTCTTCTTTGAAGTGGTGGAATTTGCCTCCAGAACTTTTGTACAACTCTTGTCTTGGTTTCCCAGATCGTCTAAATGAAATCTTTTCCGGGACTCAAACTTGGACCATGACAATACGGGAGTACTACCCTTTTGATCTTCTTGAGCAAAAGAGCATGTGAAAGGAGTGAGAATGGAAACTGTAGAAGGTCTGGGAGAAGATGATGAAAAGAGAGTATGATCCAAGTCAAAATTAGGGTTACAGATCTCATTAGGGTTTTGTAACATACATCTACTCAAAGATGAATTAGGTTCAAGAACTTGATTGGCTTTTGGACTTGAAATCTGCTTGAGTCTAGCCCTATCTCTCCTATGCACGTTCATGTGCCCACCAAGAGCTTGAGCCGACCTGAATTCCCTTCTACAGAAACTGCAAGTATAAGATCTTGGAGGCCATATACACCCACCCAGTGGCCCAGCTGCATCTTCTGCGAATGCTTGTTCTTCCCAAGAATCACCAAACGAAGATAACACGTGGGAATTCAAACAAGTTCTATCCTTCTGGATCCAATATGATCTTGATTGATCCATTATCGATCAAGATTGATCGAGAACCAAAAACCGATTCCTCCCAGTAGGAATTATGAACGAGGAATATAGACAGAAAGAAGGTAGGCAGTCTATATCTTAGTTTGACGAAAATGAAAGCTACATGGAGAATCTTTTGGGGAAGAGAGGAGCTGCTAAGTTAGAGCCGTGACAAATTGGTTGCTAATTAACAAAAGGAGGGTTCGAAGGTGAGGTGGTGGGTGCTCAATGCTTGGCTGTTTTCTGTAGCAACTTTTTGGGGTTTTGCTTCTTCACCATCAATACTGACACACTTCTGATACCCCACTTAATAATTAAACACAAAAGTTATCTGGAATGCATCCATTTCCACCTCGTTACTCTCCTTCATTACTCCAACTCGTGTATTTTTCATTGTCATATTCACAGGGAGGACCGATGTGTGCTTACAAAACGATTATAATAATACCCACAATAAAGGAATTGTAGAAGGACAAAAATCACAATCACTTACATAACTGCAGTGGCATAACTACAGTCTACATATAATAAAGAAACCGACCTATTAAGGGGCGGATCCATCTGGTGACCCAGAGAGATGCATATAAAATTGGGCGCTGCGCAACGACTCGTTATGGAGAGCAAAATTTCTTCTTTTATTAATTTTTTTGACTTAAAGTCATTGGCGGCACCTTTTCTAATGGCGTTGTGTGCGGTTAGCATAATGTGTGCGTTTGGTATATTGGACGTGACAGAGATCCTTGTTCCACGTTTGGTATGAATTTTATATGGAACAGACAGGAACAGAGTGGAACAGATTTATATTTTATCAATATAACCTTAAAATAAAACTTAATTCTCTTCTAAAACATCAAATAGGTCTTTTTTATACATCTTATTCATTTTTTAAATTTTAGTTATTTTATTTTATGTTTTTTAATCTTTCATTGTTCTCAATATATAATTTTTATATGGTTTCTATATTTTTATATTAATTTATGTAATTTATTATATATTAATAATAAAAATAACGTAGAAAAGAGATAAAAATAGAAATAGAAAACTACATAAACTTTTTATTTGATGTCATTTTAATTGTTTTAACGAAAACTTCACATGATATATTTTGTTATAAAAAATAAATATTCTATTATAATTTAATAAATTACATAAATTAATTAACAAAAACAACTCATCAGGGGTAAATTGGTCATTTTACTTGTTATGTTCTATCCAGTTTTATCTTACCAAACGTTAAACAGTTGTTTTATCCTGTCTTGTCCTCTCCTGTTTTGTCATGTCTTGTCTAGACACCAAACACACCCTAAGCTAACTTATGGGGTATTTGAGATTGCTTATAAAAACAACTTATTGACTTATTCCGATATGACACCGATAATAAACACTTTTGAGTGTTTGGATAAACAACTTATATCGGTGTCAAACTGGTAATAAAAAGTTTTTGAAGAAGTTAAACTCTTCTGACTTATAATAAGTTGATAAATGCTTTTGTAGAAAAACATAAGTTGTTTCAAATAAGCAATCCCAAACACCGCCTTATAAGCTGGCTTATTTTTTTAGTAATCGTTTGGATGTATGTAAGTTATTTGGAGGAGTTTATGAAGTATTTTTTTTGTCATTTTTTTCAATTATAATCCTAATTAATATTAATTACCAATTATAGTAAATATTAATTTATAGTAAATAAAAATTATTAGTTAATTTTAATTGTACATTAT